GCCCTTCTTTCGACGATGTGATGCTCGTGCCGCTGCCCGCTCTTCCGATGAAGAGCCCCATGAGCATGCAGACCTCGGGGCGCGCCAGCCAGGCAAACTCCGGGGACAGCGGGTACGCCGCCGCGTCCAGCTGGTGGAAGAGGCTCAGCAGGAACGCGGGCATCGTGGCGCGGATGCCAGCCCCGCCGCTCAGCACAGCCGCCACCGCGAAATGGTGGAAACTGCACAGCGATGCTGTGCCCGGAGCATCCGGACCTCCAGCGCCCGCAGACGCAGCGGCTTGCCACGGCTCGTCGGCGAACTCGAACCCGGACGCGGGCATGGCCCGCTGCTGGACTCCTCCCCGCAGGCCCGTTCGGAAGGCCAGAGGCGCCCCTCGGACAAAATGGCTGAGGATAGGCGAGTGGGTATGGGGTCCAGGACGAGGATGACGACGATGGTGACAGTGACAGCGACACGGATGACGAGGGAGGGCGGGTGGGGGGACGCAGCAGAAGGAGAAGCACTGGCATAAGACAACCCCCGTCGCTCACGCACCCCTGGCAGGGGGGGAAGACGGGCGAGCACCACCGGGCCCCCACACGCCCCAGGCAGGCGTGGACTCCTGGTCAGGCTGGCGTGCCAACACCTGAGCTTAAGTCGGGCCTGCCCCCCTACAGGCCGACTTGAACGAAAAATCAAAAAAATAGTCAAAACATATTCGACCCTACTCAGAAATGGTTTTAAACAATCATATCGTCGGCATAACATGTTTTCTGACTATGCTTGACTCTTCCTCCTGTAGAAGGACACGCCCGACTTGAGCCTGGCGTGCCATCTCGAGAGGTCGCCCGGCTCCGCGCCTCCGTGCGCGGGCCCGAGCGGGTTGCCTGCGCGCCCTCGCAGAGGGCTCCCTGGAGTCCTGGAGAGAATGCCAGCTCGGCGGCCCTGGCCGCGACGCGCCAAACGCGCGGTGATCTTTAGGTCGGGCCTGTCCCCCTACAGGCCGATTTTGGACCAAAAATCGAAAATAGAGAAATGCCCCAAAATGACCCAAAAATGCGCAACAAAATAGTCCACTAACTATGTTTTGACTGGTTTTGAAGATTCCCCTGCAGAGGGACAGGCCCGACTTGAGGTTATCTTCGCCCCCCATTGGGAAGCCCGAAGGTACCGACGCTGCTACTCCCCCGACCTCTCCCGGGGTGCGTTCTGGCCAGAATTCCGAGGCGGTGGCGGCGAGGGCCTCCCAGGAGGCCCCCAAAGAGAGGAAACGGGCGAAGGGTAGAGGTGTGGGGTGGGTACCTGATCCTCCCCTCCGACACCGCCGGTGCATCGGCGATGTGGCGCGATCCTGCGACCTGGTCGGCGGAGCTCCCCGGGACCTTGGTCCCTGGGGGCGCGGGGGGGGGGCCCGCGCCCCGTGGGAGAGGCGGCGTGGTCAGCAAGAGGAGCCAGCGCGTGCGGAGCCTGGAGAGCACACACGCAATGGTCATGCCTCAAGCGATCCCCACCCGGCGCTCCTCGATTGTGAACGTTTTCTTATTCGGCGTTTCGACATTGGGCGGAAGGGGGTGTTTTACTATTATTGAATGCTCCTCCTGTAGAGGGACAGGCCCGACTTAACGTTAGGGGGACCGGCTCAAGGGGAGGAATCATCGACCTGGAATGGGCAATGCATCGCCGACAGATCAACGATGGGCTCCCGATAGAAAATCCGCACGCTCCTTGGCGGGGTGGGGCAACCAGGCTCCCGTCGGCGATCAGTGGGGTCGGTGCAGCCTCCCCTGAGCCTCCGTCCCCCCAACGTTGCCCCTCAGGGAAGGGGATCGAAGGGGCCAGGCAGGAGGGAGGTTACTGCTCTCGTCGACTAAGCCACCCTGGCGATCGGCCTTCGGTGGTACTTCTCGGCACGCCGAGCTGCTGCTGGCACTGTGCAGGGCGAAAAACGGCGGGACGCCTGCTGCCGCCCGCTTGGCCCCTGAAGGCCGCGAGCACGGAAAATCGTATCCCTTTTTGAGGGCGGCTCAAAACCAGGCTCTCGCCTGCCTGCCTGCTGCGATTTTCTTCGGAAAGCTACACGTACATAATAGAGGGGGGGGGGGGGATTGAAGGCATAATGAGGACAGGATCCATCGCGGCTGGACCTAAACGCTTTTTCTGTTTGCTTTGTTTTCGCTGTGTTTTTGTCGCGCATCCCTGCCAACACGAAAAACAAGCCACAGCTGAAGACCAGCAAAACCGCGTCAGGTCCAGCCCTGGGCAGGATGAATCAGCGTCGAGTCAGCATATCGGGTCGAATCGAAATTCGGCTACACGTAAGAAAGACCCTGGGTAAGAGTGACCTTTGGTGCGCGGCTTTCTGGGGGCCAGAGGGGGAACAAACCTGGGCGCGCAAGCCGCTGCTCCTGCTTCGTTTTCAGCCATCTGGAGACCCATCTGTGCCCGCACCAAAGGTCAGTCCGGCGAAAGGTCACTCTTACGTCTAGTCGAGAAGTGCGCGTCAGACCAGGCTGCACCGGCACGCCTCATCGAATCGCACCGGCCACGCCAGGACGCACGACGGAGCCGTGCGAGCATCGGGCCACATCGGATCGCAGGAGCCTCGGAATCGAATCGGACGAGGCTGGAGACGATACTGGTGAAGGGGCCCTGGGACACACACATACATAGATACAAATAACAGGATTATTTTCACATTTGTTCGGATATGTTGTCTCCCCGCCACTTCCCATATTTTCCCACACTCTCTGGGGAATCGACGATTAATTGTGTCTGTGTTTTTGTTTCCCTCCTGAAATAGACTGGACGGATCTGGTCGGAATTGGGCCTGGGAGGGAGAGCGGAGGTGGGCGGGGGGAAAACGGGAGAGCGGAGGGGGGACGGAGGACGGCTGGCGGAAATGGCAGGTCGGGGCTGTCCCCCTACAGGGTGATTGTGGGCGAGTGATAAAACATATTCAAAAAATATCCCCAAATGGTCAAAACACATTCAAACACTTTGACCATTTTTGAATTTGCCTCCTGTAGAGGGACAGGCCCAACTTAACGGAAATGGAATGAAGGAGCAGGGAGGAGCGGAATAGCGTAGGACGGTGATCAAGAAACATCCGTGGGCCCTTTACACGGCAGCCCCGGGCGATGCTCACTGCGTTGGGTCCTCGGCATGACTTTGAGTAAATCGTTCCCAACGGCATATGATTCGGCGGTGGACAAATCTCCCTTTAGTAAACCTCCCTTTCATGAAAACGGCCTGGGACCGAAACCGACGGACCTGGACCCGCGAAAATGACGGCCGCGACGCCCTCTCGCGAACCGAAACCGGCCGATTCGCTAATCGACGTGTCAGGGCAGGAGGTCCGTCCACCCCCGAATGAGTGTTTGAAACAGCCTCCCGTGTTTGCGTGCGTATTCCTCGTCCCTCGTCCTCCCCCTCCCTCGTCCTCCTCGTCCTCCCTCCCCCCCCTCGTCCTCCTCGTCCTCCCCGCGGGGCTCTGGGCGTGTCTGTAAAAAAGTGTTTGCGTGCATATTCCTCGTCCCTCACTCTTCTGCGGTCACCCTCTTGTCCGCTCGTGCACAGCTCGCCCATCGACGCGCCCGCTCAGGCCACGGCCTCGGTGCGCCCTCGCAGCCGCCGCGAGACTCCGAGAAAAATGAGGACTCACCGGCATCCGGAAATGACGGGCGGGTTGATGTCTTTAGAGGAAAGAGAGCTGTGCACATACACCGATTCTGGCCAGGACCATCCTGAGCCCAGGATCGGTGCGTACGCCCTCTTACCTTGGCCAGGAAGGTATATGCACCGATCCTGGGTCAAGGATGGGCGTTGTCAGGATCGGTGCATGTGCATAGTTCTCTTCGCCCGAGTCTTGGCGACTTCAGCGCTGGTTTCTGACACCAGACGGATGGTTCTACCTTGAGAAGGCGGCGGCTTTTCGATCGCCAAACCACTCCATGTTGGCCGATTCTGGGCCGCTGGCGGCGTTCGACCCGGGACGCCGGCGGAGGAGGTGGCCGCCTCGTCGGCACGACCCGAACCTTTCCCGTGTGGGGAGCCCCGAAAACGTGTGATAAACAACACGTGTGATAAAAAACACTTGTTTTTGTTCACGTGTTTTTTATCACACTTGTTTTTATCACACTTGTTTTTTATCACACTTGGCCGCCTCGTCGGCACGACACGAACCTTTCCCGTGTTGGGGGAAGCCCTGTTAACAAAAACACCGATCGGGAGGAAGCGGCTTCTGGGGGGAAGCATCAACCTGGCATAGGCGATGCGCATCGCCGGTGGCGAAAGGGCCCCGCGCGATGGCGACGCCACTTGCCCCCCTGGGCTCGGTGGGGCACCCACCACCATCGGCGATGAATGAGCGATTGGGGGTCGACGCATCCCCACGGGGCCTCTTACCCCCCCTGAAGTTGCCCCTCACGGTCATGGGCGGGGTGGGGCATCTCGGCTCCTATCGGCGATCGATGGGCGATTGGGGGTCCACGCATCAGCCCCCTGGGCCTGTGACCCCTCCACTGACGCTGCCCCGTGGCTTTCGGGCCAAAGCTCGGCCATCAAGCGGCCGCTCGGGACGACTCTGGCACCCCCGGAACGCCCTCGACGAGGTGCAGCTGATGGAAGCCATTCTTGGGCTCTGGGCCAGCCTTGAAACCTCGGGCCTCGAGCCTCGAGCCCCAAATCTCGTGCAAACTCCAGCCTCGAGCCTCGCGCCCCCCCGAGCTGTGCCCCTGGAGGAGGGGAGGAGGAGGAGGAGGAGGAGGAGGAGGAGGAGGAGGAGGAGGAGGAGGAGGAGGAGAAGGAGGAGGAGGAAGAGTAGGAGGAGGAGGAGGAGGGAGAGGGAGGAGGAGGAGGAGAGGAGGAGAGAGGAGGAGGAGGAGGAGGAAGGAGGGAGGAGGGGGAGGAGGGTTGAGGGTTGAGGCAATACGGAAGCGCGCCGATACGCGGGAGGAGCGGGAGGAGGAGGAGGAGGAGGAGGAGGAGGAGGAGGAACCTCCCCCCCCGCGCCCGCAGGCCTTGGGCGACGCGCCCGCGTCCGCGTCGTCGTCGGAGCGCGCCTCCACGGGCGGCGCGGCCTTCCGCCTCACAACGGGGGAGTGGGCATGGCGCGGGGGTCGCGCGCGGACGGCAGGCGGCGGGCGGCGACGGCGACGGCGTCGCCCGAGGCTCGGAGGTGGGCACGCACTTTTTGCGTCGGCGGCTGGGCAGGGGTCGTCTGCGCTGGCGAGATGAGCTGAACGGGGACGCCGTTGAAGCGCATCGATCAGCCACCAGGCGGGAATCGTGGGCACACACACACACACATGTCGGCGGCGAGCGAGGGGGGGAAGCGAGAGGCAGGAGGCCCTCTCCGGAGACGGAGTGGCTTCGAAAGCTTCTCGGAAAGCCGGGGTACTTCCAGGCCTTCTGAGAAGGCCTGCCTCCCCTCACTTCCCCCCCACGCACACGCACACGCGCAAACACACAAGCACACAAACACACAAACACACGCGCACGCACGCACGCACGCACGCTCGCTCACGCGCGCACGCACGCACGCACGCACGCACGCACGCGCGCGCAAACAAACACACAGTGAGCGACAAGCCGACCTGGGTGAGCTGGCCAACGCCGAGTCACGGCACTCCCATGGCTGAAAACGAGGCAGAAGCTAAGCTGCACAGACAAGTTGGCAGGGCCCACCCTGCGACGGCGACGACGTCGTCCGAGGCTCAGGGGCTTCGAGGAACAAGCAATGACTGCTACATAACCCTCGGAGGTCCGCGCGGCGTCCTCAGATCGGCGCCCGGGCCCTCCTGCCGGTGCCTCCAGGGCCGACCCAGGAGATCTGGTGCGGATCTCCGAGAGCCTATGCATGTGCCAAAGCTTGGCTGAACACCCATATCGGCGGCGGCTGCCTCCACCGAGGGGAGACCATCCCAATAGCGCCATATTCGGGGAGGGCAGCAAGGCTGGCGCGAAGGGCACGTCACGAACGGCAAACGTATCCGTTTGGACGCCCGAAATGGGCACGGAAAACATGAGTACAATGCCCAACAACAAATGTTGTCCCAAACCAACAGCGGCAGCTGTTGGGCAGGCGGCCTTCTGTCCCAAATGGACACGGGCCGAGGCGGCGCGGACAGCGAGCCCTGCTCAGAATGAGCAGGAACTGCTGCTGGGTAGGCATTGTACCCACTCCTTCCGTACCCATTTCGTTCGTGCAGAATCCATATCCGCGCTCGGGGATCTTCTGACCCGGGTCAATCCAGACACGGGTCAGCAGGAAACCAAAAACTGCAATGCATGAAAAAAACTGCAACGCAGGTCTTCGCAAACCCGGGTCAGCCAGTAGGCGCGGCCGCCTCGCGGCCACGAGCGGCTCGCTAACCCGGGTCAGCCAGACGGGGTCTTCGCAGGATCCTGCAGGATCCGGCGCTCTGGCTAACCCCCGTCTGCATTGACCCCCGTCTCAAGGCTCCCGACGCGCCCTCGCGGTCTGGATTCCGGGGCGCGGCCCCGAGGACACGCGGCCGCCCGGCGGCGCCCCGCGCGGGGCCTCTGCGGAGGAGCGCGCTGCACCCGCGGGGCCCTGCGGCCCAGGGGCCAGGCCCGCGAGGGCAACGGTTAAGTCGGGCCTGTCCCCCTACAGGGGGATTTTCGACGAAGAATAATACATACCCCCAAAATAATCAAAAAACAAATCAAAAAATAGTCTGGGTACTATTTTAGGGGGTATGTTGTTGACCTTTGGGGGGCATTGTTGGGGTATTTTGTTATTTTCGTCGAAAATCCCCCTGTAGGGGGCCACGCCCGACATCAGGCAACGGGGTACGGCGCTGCCTGTCGCCCACCACTGAAAGGGGCCCTGGGACACACAAATACATAGACACCATCAACAGGATTCCCAATGCTTTCCCATACTTCCTGGGTGCTTGTTTCCCCCCCCACTTCCCACATTTTTCCACATCCTCCTGGGAATCGGCGATCACCTGTGTCTGTGTGTGTTTTCCCCTCCTGAGATGCCCGTCGCCCACCACGTGCGTCGGATAGGGCGCCGCGCCGGCACGGAGTCGGAGTCGGATCGGGTCGCCCGCGCCAGGCCGCGAAGCAGCGCCAGACGAGCATACATCACCCAGCATCTCGAGATCGAAGCGGATCGGCGGAGGCAACGTCGGCTTCTAGACTTGAAGGGGGCCCAGGACACACACACACACACACACACACATACACACATATATATATATAAATACACACAAATAGAACGATTCCCCATATTTCCCCACATGTTCTGGGTTGCTGTATTCCACCCCCACTTCCCATATGTTCCGATATTTTCTGAGGAATCGAGGGTTGATTGTGTCTGTGTGTTTCCAGGGCCCCCGAGAGCGCGGCGGGCGCCGTCGAGCAGAGTGGGGCGTGCGCAGAGCTGCCAGGCAGGAGCGGCTGGGCACGCGCAGACGCGGGTCAAGGGTCCGTGGATCTGGCGCGCGGGCGTTATCTCCGTGGCTCGGGGGCAGTATCGCGTCGGGCGAAGGGGGGGGGGACAACAAAGGGGGGGTTTGAGAATCAGCTCACGCAGCTGATTTTTTCCCGGCGCCTCCCGGCGCCGGAGGCGGCCAGGTATCGAGGGATGGGCCCCTCGGTGAGGCCGAAACCAGCTGCATGCAGCAAATTTCGTAGCCCCCCCTTTTCCAATCCCCCCCTTTCGCCCGGCCCGGCAGTACCACCCGGGACATGGAACCAGGGACACGATCTGGCGACAGACTGCACAGACTTTGAGTGGAAATGGAACCCGTCGCCAGTGTGATCGCGTTTGTATTCCTCGTTTTGCCGATCGGCGCGGGCCCCCGAACACCCCCATCCCCCCTGGAGTGGATCTTGGCTTCTTTTTGGCGCCTGTTTCGAGCGGGCGGAGTCTCCCCAAGAGGCAGCACTCTTGCAAACAGTCGCCCGAAGCAGAGGTCTTGAGCCGGACCCCCCCCACCAATGTCGAAACGCCGAATAGAACAGCGCTCACAATCTACGCGCCGCAATCCGTGGTTTCGCCTCCTCGAGCACGGGCTGAGCCCATGGAGGCCGTGCACGGCCACATGAAGGAGGACGCGAGTCCTGGGGCCGGGCCACGTGCCCTGGATTCCAGGGCTCCGCCCCAGGACGAGTTCGCCCTTGCTCTCTTCCCAAGACGACGCCCTCATCTTGGGGGTCCTCCCCAGGACGAGCTCCTTCCTGTGGTCTGCCCAGGACGACGAGATCGTCCTGGGGGGGCTCTTCCCACGTACGCCTTCGCCGTCCCGAGAACTGTCTTGACAGCTCCAGTGGGCCCGCGGCGGGGCCAGGGCGGCCCGAGGAGCGGGGAAGTCATCTCGGGACCCGTCCACGCCCCTGTCCTCCGTGGCCGCCTCCGCCCTCCCCCGCCGACCCTCCCCCTCCCGCCCGCCTCCTCGGCCCTCCACCTCCTCCTCCTCCTCCTCCTTCTCCTCCTCCTCCTCCTCCTCCTCCTCCTCCTCCTCTTCCTCCTGCATCCCTCCCCCCTCCTGCTGCCTCCTCCTGCATTCCTCCCCCCTTCTCCGCCTCCTCCCGGGCTCCCCAGACGGAGTCAAGGCCCCCGCGGTCGCGCGGCTGGGGGCCGGGCGTGCGGGGCGGCGAGACCCGTCGCCCCCCGCCTCGCGCTCTCGCTCCTCGGACCCCCGACGTCGTGGCGGTGCCACAGCGTATACAGCGTCTGCCCGACCACGAGAAGCCTTCCACGAGAGACCCAACACTGGGGAACCCCAGTGGCGCCCATTGTGTTTTGCTGTGGGCACGCAACGCTTCCCTTGGCAAAACCATCGAAACCCAAGAAAGCCAGGGCACCCTGGAGGCAAGCAGGGTGTTTCTTGGCATGGGTCTTCACTGTCGATCCACGGGGAGGTCTGGCCAGGGACGAGAATAAGGGGGGGGGCAGGGACGTAATGAAATAGGACAGGCGCCCCGAGTATACCCCCCTCTTTGCCTTCCCCCCCCTGGTCATCACCACCCTCTTTGCCGCCCCCGAGTATACCCTCGACCAGGATAGTAAGGATGCGCGGCAAGGATGCGAGGGCCTTGGAACGCCATGGGCGCAGCGGCTGGAAAGCATCCCGAAGCAAAGGACCACCTCCCGGGGTCAACGAAAACGTCTGCCAACCTCCAGCACAAACTCCCGCAAACATATTGGGCGGCGCGCCCGGGGGAGGGTGAGAACGGGTGGGCCTTGTGGGAAGGCTCGGAGGTCCTTCGGCCTTCCGAGAAATTGCCTGACCCCCCCCGAAGGCGCAAACAGCTTATCAGAAGGCCGGAGGGCTTCTGAGAAGCCCCGCCGCCTTCACGAAGACGCCTGACGACCTCCAACACAAACTTCCGCAACACACATGAACGACAAGAAGAAACGGGTCTTATGCCCGAGATGGCATGGCGACCGTACGCGTGATGGCTTACGCGGGCCACCAGCGCGGCACGCTACTTTGGAGAGGAAGACGCTTACGCGCGAACTTCCGCGAGAAGCTTACGCGCCAATGTCGGCGCAGACGGTCCCGATCTGTTGGCGTCGCTCACATATGTCGGCGGCGAGCGGGGGGGAAGTGAGAAGGAGAGGGCCCTCTCAGGAGGCGACGTGACTTATCAGAAACCCTCGCGCCTTCTGAGAAGATTTCTTTTGTCTTCGGGGAAGGCTTAGCAAACTTCTCAGCGCCCCTTCTCACTTCCCCCCCGGGCTCGCCGCCAACAAAGGTCACTCTGGAGATGGGCCCCTCTGACGTGCAGCCGAAAGCCCTGGGCGATGCCATACTGAGCCGAATGCGCAAACGGGAGGGGGGACAAAGGAAGGTAAACCCTCCGTGCACCTTTATAGGTCTCCTAGATGAGGTCTGAGTAGATGGGGTCCAAGGACCGCGCCACATCGGCGATTCATCGGCGACGTCGGCGATGCATCGGCGCCGTCGCAGTGGTGAAAATCGGGCTCCACATCGAGCCGCATCGGCGATGCATCGGCGATGCGGCGCGATCCTCCGACCCC